AAGTATCGATACTTGTGGATGAAAGAGTAATACTTTCGGAGGAAAAAAATATTCATAAATATTGTGGAATCGATAAAATTACACAGCCCTATTCAGCACACTGTCTCCCACTGGAAATGGGTTACAGTTTTTAAAGATATCAGATGTTACTATAAGAGCCCAAATAAGTAAAAGTGTAAATAGTTTTATAGTAAACATTCCATAAATTATTGCACAAGTAGCAGTGATGGACAGAAGAAATAAAATACAGTTTTTTATATTTTATTTTATTTTATTTTTACAGCTTCCTTTTTCGTCAGACCAGAATTTGGGCCAAATGATCCTATTTAGAGCAGCTTCCCTCTGTGGAGCAGCAGTAGTCTCTGGGTAAAACTGCCTGAGAAAAGCTTCACAGAGATTTTCAGTGTTTGCTGGTTTTTCTCCTCTTGCAGGGCTCACAATGCTGAGAGCCTCTGACAACTCAGACYTCATGTTTTACCTTGACTCTCTGTACAGAGAACCCAGGGATGTTGTACTCCACAAGGGCTCCACGGGCCTGGGCTTCAACATTGTGGGTGGTGAGGATGGCGAGGGTATCTTTGTCTCCTTCATCCTGGCAGGAGGACCTGCTGACCTTAGTGGAGAACTACGGCGAGGGGACCAGATTTTATCAGTAAGATACACACAAGCAACACTAAACGTGTGAGATTCTGAATGTTTTTATTGGCATGTCACCATTTCATTGCCCTTTGTTGAAAATCAAATGATAATGAATTTGCCTGTTTTTGCATACTGCAAAAAATGTCCACCTAACCAAATTTTAAAATCTTATCTCCAGCCAAAAAGTATTTTTGATCTTGTTTTGAGACTTATTTACTAAACAAAGACTGATTGTGTAAGAATAATAATCTTGTTTTCAGATTGTGTAAGATTATTTGTCTTGTTAGTCTGAAAATTTGACTCAAATTAAGTCAAAAATTTCTGCCAATGGAGTAAGAAAATTTTACTTGGTAAAATTCTTGAAATAAGAAAAAATTGAATCAAATCAAGTATTTCAAGAATACAGTCTCAAAACAAGATCAAAAAGACTTTTTGGCTGGATATAAGATTTTAAAACTTGGTAAGATGGACATTTTTTGCAGTGCATGTCTGTCTGATTGCAAAGTATTTAATGAAAAACTAGAAAAAATTCACCAAACATTCAAAATGTAATCACAAAATAATAGTTGCAAACACTCATGACCCCAGCTATTACTTATTTGCATATGCAGACTTTACTAATATCTCATGTTAACGTGTTAAGCATGGGAATTACAACAATATAAACAAACCTAATAACTATGATACTTATTGTATTCATGATTATTATTTTAAATAATTGCAATAATCATGGTGAAAATATTCCATTAGCAATTTTTTTGCATTTAAATTGATGTCTGGAAATCCTCTGGGGACCCTCACTTGATGTTTCATACCCACAAAGGGGTCCCAACCCCAACTTTGGGAACCCATGGTTGAAGGTATTTTTTCTATAGCTAAACATGGTAGTGGGTCACTTTTGACCTGCAAGACAACAAAAGGGTTACATTTCTTTAAAAATGTGTAAGTTGGTTTTAAATCTGTTACTCAAAGGTCTTAAATTTTGTCAGGAAGAAGCGATTAAAGCTGTCTGTCCCCCCTGGCCATCTTCACAATGCATTTTCTGATAATAAGGATGAGAATGAAAAATCTTGTGTTGTTGTGATGGATTTACTGATGCTGCTTTCAACCAATAAAAAGAACCAGAGTCACAGTTTTAGCCAATCAGAGCAGAGCAGGGAGGGTCCTGCTGTCTGTGAGCTGAATCAAATAATCAGACTACACCTCCACCTGCTACCTGCTACTAAAGCACTTCKTTTTTTAAATTCAGCATGCTAAATATTAGTTCTTGGGCTGTTACCTCTCCTTGGGCTGCTACCTTATCGTGGTGGAGGGGTTTGAGTGTTCCAGTGATCCTAGGAGCTATGCTGTCTGGGGC